AGCTAACAGTGGAACTCATTGTTTATTCTGCTTCCACTTTCCCCACAGGGAACTCTTGCGGAGAGGATCAGGGCCGGCGGAGCTGGAGTTCCTGCCTTTTTCACAGCCACTGGCTACGGCACGCTGATCCAGGAGGGAGGCTCTCCAATCAAGTACAACAACGATGGAAGCATTGCCATTGCCAGTGAGCAGAGAGAGGTGACAACATTGTTTTCTCTACTTTATTTTCTAAATTCTTTTGTTTTAAAGTTCAGTTGGCTTGTATGGATATAGTAACATATTAACCATAGTTATGTTTTTTGGTTGTCACATTATTATGAGAACAGAAGTTTATTTCATTTTGCTCTGCATAATGAAAAATTCATGATAAACCAATGTCACCTTGCACACCGTCTATCTCAGTAAACTACCTGTACACTTGTTTTAATAATATTTTATGTATATGAAACAATGAATACTATCAGAAATCAAAGTTATAATCTAAAACTTGAGCTCTTCAAATGTGTGGATTGTTTTGTGTTCAGGTGTGACTAATATACTAAAGGTTGTAATAAATGTTACTGAATATGATGTCATTGAACACAGGTGCGAGAATTCAATGGCAGATATTTCATCATGGAAAAGGCCATCACTGGGGACTTTGCCCTGATCAAAGCATGGAAAGCTGACAGAGCCGGAAACATTGTTTTCAGGTGACTGAAATATACTCTTTGTTTCCCTTCAATGCCGATGTTTATCATGTAAAAGGCCTTTACATGTAAAAGGCACCTGTCGCTGAAATTTTTAAAAATATTTGTTGTTGGCACCCATGATTCATCTTTACTTCAGTTTGAGGGTCATTCAGTGTTTAAGACTGTTTCCACTAAAATCTCCACACGCTGCAACTTAGAAGTTGTTGTAATTTTTTTTCCTCCACAAGAGGACAGCGTCCTCAAGTAAACCTTACACCGAGTGTTATAAATTAAATGTCAGGGTAGGATTTTCCTCATGTCTTTGAGTCACATATTTCTGTTTTACATATTTGTAATGTTGTCTAGTGTAAATGTTGTTGTTTTTCCTTTTTAACAGAAAAACAGCTAGAAACTTCAATCAACCCATGTGCAAGGCAGCAAAGGTCACCATAGTGGAGGTAGGAAACCCTTCTCTGTCGGAAAACTATGGATCTATCAGTGGAGTCATATATCTAAATATAACCTCCTTTCTAGTTTAAAATGCAAAGTATTTACTTTATTTTCCATCTGTTTGTGCTAAGGTAAAGGTAAAATAGGCCCTTAAGGGAAAAAGCAAACATTTAAATAAAATCTCATCTGACCTTATGAAATCATGCACATATAATTTCACATGAATACCCTGGCTTTTTCAGTTCCAGGACTTTTTGGGATTAAAATGTAATAGTTTTCCAGCAGAGGAAATTGACCTGGATAAGAATAACCTTTAAAAATAAAAAGGTTTCACTTCTGTTTAATCTAGTTTTTATTAGAAAGCAGGATGAACGAATAACAAGACAGTTGTTCCCTTTCTCTTTCCTCTGTCTTTTATAACTAGCAGAGGAAACAAATATACTATTATTTTCCAGAAATGTTTTGAAAGTTTAGTTTTAGCTCTCCAAAAAGAGCAAAAGACAGATTTCTTAATCTTTTTAGAATTAAAATTAAAATTAAGGTTGACATTAGAATTAAAAAATTTCTACAATAGGCACTACTAATCGATCTGACATTTTGAAGTCAAACCCTACTTCACTGCAGCTGAAAATTGAGCCATGATGACCTCTCTCTGTGTCAGACTTTTATCTATTCTCTGTATCTGGTTCACCACCTTCCTCGAATTTAAAATTATATGCTAGTGATCGTTCATCTTCTCTTCTTGTCTGTGCTTTATATGTGCAGTTCCCCTGTCTTATACACACACATACACACAAACAACTTCACACCTTCCATTTAGACACCGTTTGACTCAGAGAACAGCAGGGATTAAAAATGTTTGTGAGAATCATAAAACAACTGCTGAAAATAAATCCATAGCAGAGAGTTTGCGCTCCACCGACCACTTGTTCAATTGTACCACAGAGTTGAGAGCTGATGTTTAGGCTGTTGATAGTAGAACATGGCATGAATTCTCCTAGTAAAAGTAATGTTGATACTCTATGGTCAAGAAATAACCAGAAAGAATAAATGAGTTACATAATAAGCATTTTGTTTTTTGTATGTTACGTTTTTTGTATGAATTAAGACAGCAGTCATTGCCATCATGAAGTACTTACGTCTTCGCAAATTGAGTGGGAAATACAAATAGTTAAGTTTTTGTATAGTTTTCGTATGTTTGAAGTTGAGAGTGGCTGACAAAATAAAAATAATATATAATATGATTTAATAAAAGGACAATTTAATTGATTATTTGTGATAGGATATTAAAATCATTACAATTGTAATGAATCCACAGACTGCACACCTGTGTAGTCTGTGGATTCATTGATTGCCAAAGAAGCCAATTCCAAAACACTGTCAAATAACTGTGGTACTCCAAGACTGTGTACCTCAGTATTTTTTTTTTACTTTTTTAAGTTCTGAGAACAAATAGTGCCTTCAGATAATCCACACCGATGATGAATAGTTTTTTTTTTGCAGCATTTTGTGGAATGTGCAGCCGTCTGCCATCCTCACTCTGGATCTTGAAGTGAAAAACCTAGGTAACATATCATTATAAATGCATATCAGGGTTAGTTCTCAGAACCTGTATTTTTATTATAAAGCTTTTAATACCAGCTCTCTGATTAGGCCTTTTATGGCACAGCAGGTAGGATACAGGCGTTATCTGTGACAAGTGTACTTACTGGTGACAATAAAGTGATATGCCTGTTTTGCTACACACATTAAGAACAATTTATTCTTTGAGCAGAAGCAATTAACGTGTGTGAGAATAAACGTGTCGTCAGTATTCAGGTCATGCTCGGTCATAAATCTGATAAGTCCTCTGTATTGACCCTGTTATCAGAGATAAGACTGAACAGAACTAACAACCAGTAGCCAGTGTTTGTTTGGATTTTATTTTTTCTACTCACAGCTTCTTCTCCCAGGTCAATTTGTTTTCTAATGCTCGTTTAGTTGAATTCTGGAGACAAGCTTTATAATCCCAAATCAAGTCTCAAAGGTCAGGGTGTTAGGCCAGAGGAATGGTGCTAACAGTGAAGATGATGCACTTCATAGTTTCAGTCCCTGAGAAGAAACTTCTGCCACGTTCTTTTCCAGAACAGTTAACACTTGCCAATTTCACCCTTTTAAATGCCTTTGTCTGTACAAATGCTTCTACAGTTACAATTTATTAAATTGTACAGTAACATTAACACTCACTGAAATGCATTCAAAGTAAAAGTTAAAACATTTACTTACTGAGACAAGAAAAAGAAGAAAATAACCCCACTTAAGCACTAGACAAAATGTTAGAAATCAAGATGGCACAAAATGACAAAATTACCAGATCAGCACTGGCTCCGGTTGTCGTTGCTAAGCAACCACAGTGGCTATTCAGTTGTTGATTGTTCCATAGTATACAGCCGGTCCAGTCATTCTATTATCACATGTATGGCAAAAGGTCCCAGTGCATTGTGGGATACAAAACGACATGGTGTTTTGTAACAGCCAGTATTTTTCAAGCAGCTCCCCTGCAAATAAATGCCATTTTGTTTCCTGAAGTTTCTCCTTGATTATTCCAGCAATGATGAAAATGAATATAATTATACCCGGCCAGAAGAGTTATGCCTGAGGTTTATGCTTCGATTTTGATTCTTTATTATGATTACGCTTCCATTCCATCTGCTAATAAATGGAGAAAAAAAAGTCCTTTGTTTGATCTCGGGGAATATAGTTTAGACCTTAGTCTCAAAATATCAATAGAATGTTATATTGAAATTATACCTTATGGAACTGGCTGTTTAATGAAACATATTAACCTATCATTGCACCTGTTTGTGTTCAAATGTTTAGCCAACCATAGTATAAACAACAAATCTCCATCGGATTCGGTTTTTGACTGCGGTGTTTGAAGCCTCCCCAGAGCAAATGGTGCTAAATACAGGGCTGATTTGGCATCTAGTACCACAGAAAATTGCTGTAATATCAATCGACAGATTGGTTTTAAAAGCCAATTTGTCATTTTCTGGTAAAAGTGTTGGCAAAAGGTGCTTCCAAATGACAATAACAGCATTGCAATATATATATATATAGTTAAATTCCTTCGGCAGTCTTTTAATTCCCAATAGTTTAAAGCTTCTAGCAGACAAACTTTGCCTCAGTGTTATTTTTGTGTTCTTGTTATGTGGGAGAAAATTGACTTGATTCTAAAATAAATAGTAGAAGTCAAAGTTAGGACTACGATACTGATCTCCATTATTTTCTCTGATCAAAGTCAGACAGTTGTAGTTTTCATAATTAGTTCTTTACAAACACCAAACATGTTATTTGTCTTCTTTTTAAATTACACCATACAACTGTAGTCCCTTTAAATGGACCTTAAAGTATGTGTTGTGTGCATGTGTGTACGTCTGTGCAAATCTGCTATGTTGCTGCCCGAGCATGTATTTTCTCTACTTAACGTCCAATCTTTGTTCCTTTAAAAAATAAATACCACACCAATAGCAAGTAATAGTTTGTGTTTAGTTGACAAATCAGTGAACATAACATAGTCGTCTGCATACAACTCACTGTATCTTTCATTTACCTTGACTAAAAACAATATATCTTAAAGCTAATATTTGCTGATTTGTTAATGTGTTTCGCATCTGCAGGTCTAATACAGCACTTTAATTGCCAATTAGTCAGTGTAATTGCCCCTTTAATTGCTAATGTAAAGATAAACATAAAACCAATAATGTGGACATCTGTTGGGTCTGTTGAAGTGAAATACTCTGGCCAGGATTTTAATCACTCTAATATGAGTGATTCCAAAGCTTGTGACCTCCAACACTTACTGAGGTTAAGTCATTAGTTGTAGGTCACTGAAGGTTCAGGAGAAGCTGAGATGAAGACAGGCTCTAAATATTGGGTAAGCAATGAGTGGATGTAATTTAAAAAGTATGATTTTGTTAGTGTGCTAATTTAAAAAATTCTCCAAATACACTTATGTGCAGTTGTGGTTTTCACTCGATGGGTATGAAGACTTTTCAGCCCAGTATGAAGTATCTCCAGTTTTAAGACTATAAATGGGAACTTGTGAATGTGAACATCTGGAGAGGGCTTATTTTTATCCTACATTAAGTGACAATATTCCTGTATTTTTCAGGGTTTGCACCTATTCGCTGTCCCTCAGTTGTCAGATGCCATGAATACTGTCATAGGCTAGGCAGTTTTCAACAGAGAGAAAAGCATTTGCTCATTTTGTCAGTGTTCCGGGTTAGAGGCAGTGCTGTGCTCCAAAAGTGGCAGCAGAGCCTGGCCGAGTGCCCACACACGCAGACACACACTGGGAGGAAGATGGAGAGGTTATAAATACACAGGATAATGGGAATGTGGTGTCTCTCATCATAATGCTTGCCTTTAGCCACACCAACTCTTTCTGCTCTAATGGTAGCTTATTAGTATGCACAAGAAAAAGGAGTTTCAACAAAACAGAGCTCAGCTTAATTAAAGGAGTAGTTCAGTTTTTTCTTTTTTTTTGTAATTGGATTTCTGAATGACTGCTGCAGTTGGTGCTTAAGTTGACAGTGAAATACTGACAAATTAACAAGTATCTACCCATACAAGCAAAAACCCTTTAAGCTGCTGTTACATACACATCTGTCTGTTTAAACATAAACTTTTAAAATGCGCTTGAACAAAACACACCACTGAATCAGAAATTTCACACTAAATTTAGAAAAACATGAAAACATTGACCAAAATATTGCACATATTAAAGTAAAATATTGTCTGAATACTGCAATACTACCACATTACCAATAAAATTCAGGGATTAAATTGAATATTTGCACATAAGTGACCACAATATTGCCCAGTAAAATCTGAATTTTGCAAATGAATAACAAAATTTGACATAAATCATACACAATGATTTGGTTAATATTAATTAAATAACAATTACTTCAACAAATATATAATTTTATCAAATGTATTCCAGTAATAACTGTGGTCATTACCGTATAACCTTTTATATTGACGCAAAAAACATGGTTAAGAACATGCCAGTTTTTCAGTGGCTGTAGTGGTAGCGCTGTATCCAACATCAATTTCAGTGGTAAAATACAAGAATGTAGTCGCAGATGTGCAACGCACCACTTTTAGATTAATGTGATTTGATAAGAGCTCAGATCAAAACAACACACACTATGGGGAAAAATAAAGCTTGTTTCCCCAGAGGGCACTTTGAATCCCTCCACCCTGCTGCCATTTTAATTCATCTCACTCTGGTCTCATTGATGTGAAAATTGTTGGAAAATGTCAATGTGTTTGTGTGTGTGCGTGTCTGTGTGTGTGTGTGTGCGTGCACTCGTGTACTCCCTTACACACCGGCATGTATGCACGTGTGTCCTTGTGAGGTGCATGTGTGATTTCGTTATTGTCTCTTTTTTTTTAATGCTTGATCCTTCCTCTGCCGCTGAGTCTGCATCTGAACTACATCTGAGCATCAGTGCTCTACACACCACCCATAGATGAAAGGGACAGAGGGCTTTTATGTTTACATTTAAATTGTACCAGCTTTCCATTATGCTAAGGTTTGGTCTAATTAAAAACTGATCAAGCTGAATACATGATTCGATTGCACGTGCGTGATTCACAAATTGGTGATCTACCTGTGAAGTGTGGTTTCTTTTTGTTGTCGCTTGTTGGTTTTCACAGTGGGAGTGTTTTGGCAGCTGCTGGTTGAAGACAACAAAAAGCAACCGATGTTGACGAATTCATTCACTCATCTTTTGTTTTTTTGCAAAAACTACATATTATTGGAAATGTTGCTTTTTCACCATAGTGTTTAATAAAGCAATGAGTGCAGTCTGGCTAAATGGAAATTTCTACGGAAAGCATCATTCCATCAAAAAACAGCTTAAAGCCCCAGAGAAAAATGTGGGTGGATGTGTGGGACTGCAGCACCTTATCAGTTCTCTGGTGCTTCAAATCCTATCATGCATAGCCTTTTGTTTAACTATGGAACATGAGAGGTTTGCCATAAACCAAGCCATAACCCTGCGCACCCCCTCCAAAAAAATGTCTTAACTCACTTTATGGTCCTTAGTGGCCCAAGCTCACCGCAGACCAAAACCTGTGTATCCATGACAACGCCAAGATTGGAGCCGCTCTCAGCCACAGACTCCTCTCAGTAAGTGCTCAGTGCTGATGGAGGAAGTGGCGATAAGGAGAGATTCAATTCAATTTGCTCGGAACAGCTGCGTGTGCCTTATGTATATAGAATAAGTAGGCTGCAGCCACACAGGAGTGCACCCTGAGGTGAAGGGAAGGCAAGAATTAAATCGTCATGGGTAGGTCGCCTTCTGGCCGCCAGTGATGTGATGATAACCTGTCGTTGGTAAGAGGAACACTAGTTTGACATTTCTATGATTTTGAGTGCTTTTCATCCTGGAAGATTTTTATAGAGAACCAAATTTGTTGCTCTTTACTTCGGGGAGGATTTTTTTTGTTTGTCGATGTTCACTCATGAGTTTCTGGCACCAGCTTTCAAGATCAAGCTACCGAGGACTGTTGTGTTCTCAGCTCGGTGTCATTAAGGCTGAGTCTGTTGTTCCTCAAATGAAACATAAGCTGTTCATACTCCCTCAGTGTACAGAAAATAAATTTATGGGGAGAAACTTTGTTTAAGTCTTCTTTACTTCATTGTTTGCCATAAAGTTAATAGACCTTTCAGACCGAAAAGTAAATATATAGTAGAACTAGGCTTCAAAACACAGTAAAAGTCCCATTTTTTCTGTTTACTGAAAAATGGTTCACATTCTTTACTAATTTACTCACTGAAATGGTTTTAAAGGTTTGATTTATTTCTATTTTCTACTTCTTCTGCTGTTTTTATCATTTTTAGTTTGGGGAAATTGGGGGTGGGGGGTCATTGCTGGTGCCAAATTTACCAGTAATCGCTGGTTAACCAATCTGTCACTAGGTCACATATATGGAGCTACGTATGTTGGTCAACACCCCTTGTAGCTGCATGTTTTTGGACTGTGGGGTAAAACCCACGCACACATGTAGAGAACAGGGGAACCACACCACATTCTGTTATGCAGGACCACTTACCACTTTCTCACCTTGTGGTCACACAATGAACTGTGAGCAGCCCCCTCAAAGACTGTTAGTTTATTGTTTAATGTAGAAGAAAACATTCAATGTTTGCTTTGAACTCTGTTTTTAGGTTCCAGACTCCCCTACTCCCCATTACTTTTATCCAAGGACCAGGCTTTGTCCCTAAGGGTTTGAAGTGTTTTTGAGTCCTTTTGAATTCTCAGTCAGCCAGACAGGCTTCTTCAACATTTTACCCACATAAAAAAGGAGAAAGGGGCCTCTCTGAGCACATTAATATGATAACTTTTACATTTAGAAGTGATAGCCTGAGATTCACCACAAAATACATTGTGAAATTTCTTCTGCGTATTTTGATAGAAAAGCGACATTTTACTTTGCATGGTTGGATAGGAAAATGTTATTTTCTGCTTATATGATTGTTATTGCACGGTTTCCTTATCTTAACATTAAATCTCAAGTGATGGTAGACAGAGTTTGACCATACAACAAACCCCTCATCCCTCTGTGTCTGTGTGTAGGTGGAGGAGGTTGTGGATGTTGGGACATTTGCTGCAGAAGACATCCACATACCCAGCATCTATGTCCACAGGGTCGTCCAAGGAGCCAGTTATGAGAAAAGGATTGAGGTAAAAATCACCCGATCCTTCTGGACAGCCAGTAAAATAGAATTTAAATAAAACTATTAATAGATTTGAAAGAGTAAGAGATTAAGCTTCTGATAAAGAAGCATGGTGTTGAATCCTTTCAGGCTAACTGATTGTGACATATCCTGAAATGTTCCAAATGCAAATTCTAGCACTTATGCATGTGCCTTTGTGCTTACGCTGAAATATCCCCAGGAGACTCTATTCCTTTTTTTTTCTTACAAATTTATTTCAATGGTTTCAGAAACGAACAGTGAGAAAAAGTCAAGAACAGAAACCCAAACCAAGGAAGGACTCGGACATTGTTCGGGAGAGAATCATTCGCAGAGCAGCTTTGGAGTTTGAGGATGGAATGTATGGTATCCTTTTCATTTAATGACAAAAAAATAGTTAGCGTTAGTATTCCTTTCATACTCTAATGTTTGAACATCTTTACATTTAGAGAGAAATATATGCAGGTTCAGAACCCTCAAATCTGTTTTCTAATCATAATAAATAGGTGCCGCAGCAGTAGCATTAACAAACTATACTTCTGTTTTCTAATTAAGGGGGTATAATTATTCATTAATCATAAAAGCAATATATATAATGTAGCGCTGGGCTATAATAAACCAGCCTTCAGTATTCTTAGAGTAGGTTATTGACTGAACTTTATTAAATGTAGATGAAGACCAAAATGTATTTAGCATTATTAGTCATATCTGATATTGGCTTTGGCCCAGAGGCAATGTCTCTGTCATTGGTGCAGAACTCCAGGGTTCACCTCCTGGGCAAGATCAAATCCCAGTTAAGGTGGTTGGTACCTTCCAGTGAACTCACCACCTGCAGGAAGGTTTAGGGGGGTTGGTACGGTGCAGTGTGATTTGGGTGGTGGTCGTGAACTATTCTATTTTTCATGTATTAGTTTTATTTTATTTATATTGCATTTATGTTGTAATTACAGTGTATTGTTTTTATATATTTAGTTTACATTGTACCATATTTTAATTGAGCGTCTTTGTTTTTAATTGCACTGCTTTGCATATTTTTTTTACTTGTGTTAACTATATTTTACTTCCAATTGCAATACATTGCAATGTTCCCAGAGTCGCTTAGTTGTCACGATAAATATACTTAATTTCATTATTCATTAAAATAATTTGATTAATTTTCTCCTTTCCATAATCAGAGTCATAATCCTCCATATTAATATTTTTGGATATTTAACATTTTATTAGATGTCCTGATAAAACTATGAAAAGTTCAAGATTCTTTTTTGTTTCTGTAGTTTGATATAAAAATATATATTTTTAATACATATAGGAGACTTTCGAGATGTTTTCTTGCTGCATGCATTTATGTCAGATGATTTCGTATGATCTTTAACCAAGAGCTGATCAGCAAACCTTGGCATTGGCATCCCCATGTTGGCCAGCAACTTCATAAAACCAGATATCACTGTACACCTGCAAAGTGAAAATGGGATTTTAGGCCTGGTAAGAAGAACTCACACATGTTTCTTTTGCTTTGAATATGAAATAAACAAGATGAACAAGCAGTCATTTATAGCAGCAGAACATTTCCTTAAGACTGAATTTTGCCTGGAGCATGAAGTGAGATCAATAGCCATTCATCTGAGCTGCTAATGCTGCTTGTTATGTAACATGTGATTGACAGTTGTTCTTCCTCATTTACATTATTTTGTGAGGCCAGAGCATGTATTTATAATCACATATCTTTACTGTAGAATGTAAGAACCAAATTGAATGCCTTATTGAAGATTGTCCTAATTAGAAATGCTACTTCTCTTCATCTCCTCTGCTCCTCTCTTGTTCTCTCCTCTCATCATGTCTCCCTGCCTTTTCTTTTCTCTCATCTCCTCTCCTCCCCTCTCTTCTCACCTCCCGCTCTCACCTCTGGTCACTTCTCCTGCCCTCTCTTCTCTCATTACTGTTTTCTCCTCCACCTCCAAGCCACTGTTTCTTTTTGTTGAACACAGAGAAAATCAATGTCTCATCTAATCTGTGAAATGTGATTGTGTCTATCTCTGCCTGGAAAGATCATCACAGGTCAGACACAGTGACATGTGTGAACACACGTGGCTGACCATTTTACACACATACTTGTTTATGTACACGTCTCATTAGGGGCCTTACCCAACAGAGGATGCCGTGGATCCAGACCTGATTAATGCTGGTTAGTCTAACTCTTATCACTTACCATGACTCTTTGTCTTCAGTCACATATTGTTGCCCCAAACAAAGTAGGAATTCATAAAATTAGGGACATTAGTGACAAAGGAAAGTGAACTCCTTGTCACTGTGACACAGCACACCACTTAACACAACCAAATGTGACCTGCTTTTGACCCATCACCAAAGTGAACAGTGGGCAGCTTTAAGCACCAGGGGAGCAGTGTGTGGGGACGGTGCCATGCTCAGAGCACCTCAGTGGTAACTTGGCAGCTGGTGGACTTGAACCTGATGAGCCGATGATGTGTCAATATATTTTAGACCGGATACAATATTATGGACAGTGCATGTATATTAAATAACTCTGACCTTAAATGTGAATATTTCAACAATATGTACTTAACCATCTGTTATATCTTACTGGCCCTCAAACACCCTGTATATGTTTTTTTTAAATGAAATTACTGCAGTTTTCCTCATCTTCTTTTTTCATTATACTGTACTTATGTATGTCAACTGTTCTTTTCCACAGGAAAGGAAACGGTCACAGTGCTCCCTGGTGCAGCCTATTTCTCCAGTGATGACTCTTTTGCCATGATCAGAGGGTAACGCTTTGTACCAAAAAAACCAACCTATCTACACTGTATATCAAATGTTTAAAAGTCACTGCACCACTTCAATATTCAATCATATTTTACTGGGTGACCTCAATATGAATATGACCTACTTAAATTCTCCATTCTTTGTGACAGGACCTGATTTTGGTCCTGCATACAGTATTTAACAGGTGGTACAAATTAAATAGCTAGTGTCACTTTTACAACAAGACAACAGCCTTGTCAAAACTACCAAGGTTCCTCATTCTAATTGATTTGGCAGCTCTGTGAGACTGGCCACCCACACGGCTCCGTCAGTGCTGTCTGTGCACCAATAGGAAATTCCATATCGCTCATAAATAGTGTCAAGGTGACAGATGTCAAGTACAAAAAGACTTGTGTGCGTATTTGTCAGTGTGTGTAAAACCACTTGATCGTGTAATTATATCACAAGTAATTATAAAATGTAAGCTGTATATTTGGAAGAAATGTATAAAACCCTGGAAAGCTTTACGCCACTTAAACTTTATTATTTTATGTATGAAACTGAGATTTATTAATATCAGCTTCTTCTTTTCTTCTGTCATCCTCTTTAGCGGTCACATAAACCTGACAATGCTGGGAGCCATGCAAGTGTCAAAATTTGGAGACCTAGCCAACTGGATGATTCCTGTAAGTGTGATTTAATAAAGCACATCACGGTTCAGGTTTTGAGCTGAACAGTGTTCCTCTGAGCTTTTCTTTTTTTTTATCGACTATTATTTGTTTTTGTTCAGGTCAATATTGTGAATTCACTTTTCTGACAGGCACATCTCTGGTTTCACAAATTAGTTTGAGTAAGAAATTATTTTCAAAGTATGAAACTTTGTGTCTCTAGAACAAATATGAGGTAAACAGTGGATTAGTGATGACTTCAAAAGACATAGATTACACCTCTGAGCCTCTCTCTCCCTACTATCTGCAATCATTTTTGTCTATAGCTTGAATACAATGTTTTGTCACTAGCAGCGTGTCATGTATGAATGACTTTTCATGAGTGAATGACTTTTAATGTGAAGCTGTTGAATTCTTTGCTTAAGAGAACAAACAAACAAACAAGCTGTGCACTCTCCTTTTATTTAGTATCCATATGTGGTGCTTATGGCTGTGCAAAAGAACAGTCTTTGTCAAGCACATCATTCCTTTAAGTTAATATAAAATCCCACTCAGGTATAACGAAATAATAATTACACTGAATATGGGGTTTATACATAATTCCATATATTGACCACAAAGTAGTAGTTTTAGTGTAGCAGAATGGAGCACGCATTTGGCCTTGGATTATTTTTTTGTAAAGTGTAGAAATCTGCCTGTGAGATTAGCACTGGGAGGGGTATATTTGCGAGCACTATATTGTAATGGGTGGCAGACTAGTGCTTAATGTTCCATCAAGTCAATTGGCCTTGAGACCAAGGTGGCCACATTCATCCTTGGTGATTACTAAGGTCAAGAACCCAATAAAAGGCTGTTCACAATAAAGAAGCACTCTGCTAGAATGGGTCCCAACCACTGTACACACAATACTTTAACATTCACCTACATACACACAGCTGCATTGTGCTGAAGATATTCCTTTATAGACACATATATAAATACATCACATGAAATCATTTATATTGAAAAGGACTATCATAGAGTCAAAAGGTACCATTATGAGTAAATTACATCATTTTTTATTAAAGCAGGCATTATTCTTCTTTCTTTTTCTTTCTACTGCCC